GTTCAGTGTGTCCTGACAGAGCTGTGCCAGAAGTTCAGTGTGTCCTGACAGAGCTGTGCCAGAAGTTCAGTGTGTCCTGACAGAGCTGTGCCAGAAGTTCAGTGTGTCCTGACAGTTCTGTGCCAGAAGTTCAGTGTGTCCTGACAGAGCTGTGCCAGAAGTTCAGTGTGTCCTGACAGTTCTGTGCCAGAAGTTCAGTGTGTCCTGACAGAGCTGTGCTTCGGAGCTAAATAACAAAATTATAGTGAGAGATTCACATTATGTAAGAAAGGAAACAGAAAATGTTGAGGTTAATTTTGTGAGAGGAGAGAAATGGTAGGTTTACTAAAAATGAAGAATTTCAAGGACTAATGAAACAAATTGTGAAATTGTATCAAACGTGCCTTAATTTCTGACTGTTGATTAAGATGGTGAATCCAAAGTGTATCTGTATTAAATACATTGTGGAAACCAGGGCTGCATAGTGCTCTGCCCCCCGATCCTACAACACAAATTATTTTGAACTTAAGTGCCTGTGCCCTGAAGATTTGTTTAGATTCTGCAGCTCTGGTGGAGAAATTACATCAGCTTTCTATCCAGTACAGCCAAGATGGAATCCTCGGCATTACCACAACAAACACGGTCTTTCTTAGGATTATCGTGAAGACAGCAACAGTTTAGCATCTGAAACTAGGGATAAAATCTATTTAGTAATTAATACCTAGTAATAATGATAATAGTAATTAATCGATAATTTCACTCAGGTAATCACATAGGCTACTAACCGTGGCCACGATGTAACACGACCTGGAGTCGAGGGTATCAGTGAACAAGCCATGTAAAAGAAGCTTGAGTCGAGGGTATCAGTGAACAAGCCATGTAAAAGAAGCTTGAGTCGAGGGTATCAGTGAACAAGCCACGATGTAACACGAGCTGGAGTCGAGGGTATCAGTGAACAAGCCACGATGTAACACGAGCTTGAGTCGAGGGTATCAGTGAACAAGCCATGTAAAAGAAGCTTGAGTCGAGGGTATCAGTGAACAAGCCATGTAAAAGAAGCT